AAACCTTCCATCCTGCCCTGCAGCTATTTTTTCTCCTGGCCAAATGACAGAGCACAAGCCAGGGATCTGATATATAACAGAATTACTGAGCTAACATTATGGCTTTACATTAAAAAGAATTGGAAACATTAGTGTGAAAGGCATTCATTTGTACTGTTGAAAGACAATTTGAGTTTTGTTCTGGCTTTTTCAGTCTTTTAGCAGCCGGTAGTACAATTAAAGTTAGTTGCCTTCAGAAACCATTTTTCAGCTCCACTGCAACAGTGAAACTTGCTACATTCAGGCCCCTCCATTCTGGGCTGATGGTGCCCCAATGTAAGGAAACCATACAGCTGGTTGCTCTGACATATGCCAGGGTGATGTATTTGGTATTTTGGGTTACCAGTACTCTGTGAAGTCTGTCAGAATGCATTGCCTTGAACAATTTATCACTTATAAGGGTTTCCTGAGCATTAGCATGATTAACAGGTGATGGATGCAGCTATGTGGATCTCAGACATGGCATCTCCATAGCAGCTATGTACCTGGTGGCAACAAAAGCCACATTTTCAGCAATCAAAAATCACTTGGTTCTTTGTGAGCTGCCCAATTTAAACAGTATTGATTTAGGAATGCAGATTAATTATTAGTTGTATGCCAATTAATGCACTTTCTAAATATGTAACGAAATACATGCTCCCTGATTTTGAGAAGTCAGACACCACCAAGTGATGTATCTGTGACATGAACGGCACCAACCAGTTATTCTCCTGAAGCACTGACTATCATCCTCAGGGAGAGGATGTTGTGAGTGTGTTGATTAATGATCAACACCAGGAAAGGCCTGTTAGATTTGAAGACAGAAAGAAAAGAAAGAAAGAAGAATTCCTCAGTAGTGACTGCTACTGCCTCAGTGCTCTTCTCATTAACCTTCAACAGAGCCTAACTGCCTGCCCCTGTTACAGGGCCAGGAGCTGGGAAGGAGTTTACACAGGCCCGTCAGTGAAGAGTGCCACTGCTTTCCACACTTTCCTAGGGTCAAGATTCAACATTTGCCATCAGGGTGTTGATACTTCAAGCAAAGGATGCTAAGAGACTACTACCTCTCCAACTCAAGAAAAACATAACGTCCTTTGAGCTGGCTTCCTTGTCTTGCTGATAATAGCCCCTTGCTGCTGTGTAATAAGAGCATAATAAGGAAAGTAGACATCTGTGCCTGAGAGGTACGTGGAGCTGCTCTCTCCCTTCATCCTCTCTCCAGAGTCCTGCTATGAGCCATTGAGGTGAGGAGAGAAAGTCTAAAACTTGCCTGGGACATGAGCCTAATCTGTTGAGGAATTAAGTGTAGGGTGGGATGTATGTTATGTATGTGGGGAGGGGGAATAGGCAGAAGTTGAAAAAGGGCAACTGAAGGGAGGAATAAAAAGACTCTAGCTACTGGAGAGGTGACTATTGGAGAGGTGACTCATGGGATAAACTTCATAACAGGGAGAGGCTCCAGATGTAGTAAGGACCAGGAGTGCTGAGAGGGGGAAGCCTAAAGAGATGAGAGAGACAATGCAAGTGAAGGAGCAGAAAGAGAGAGATCTCCTGTGGGGAGAGGTCCTACAAAGCAAGGGCAAAATAAGGACAGAGAGTCCTATGAAATGGCAAAAAAGCAGAAATACAAAAAAAGAGGAGAAGAAAATCTGATGCAGTTATGAAGAGGGAGTTGGGAAAGAACAACAGAGAGGGCTAAAGATTGAAGATGATGACCTCTATGGAGGCAAGCTTAAAGGAGGTTGAGGAGAGCAGGCAATGTAATGTTCCTAGGCACTTCTGCACCATCTCCTGTCCTATGGTTGACAGAAAACGCCTCAAAGGATGCAAAGACAGCTCAATGATCCCATTTATTCCTATTCGGTAGAACAGCTGCATGAAGCAACAGGCTATACCTCAAGGCAAATCCCTTCTCTTACTTCAGAGAGCTGTTCAGTGTGTGCTGCTTCTGCTGGACTGGCAGCTCGTCTTCCATGGCTATTGCTCGAAAACAGCCCTTCTGGAAGACAGTTTTCAGCTATAGCCTTGCAGGTGCTTCTGTGGTTGCAGATGTACAGCTCGGAGGCCACCTGAGCACAAGCTCGGCAATGGGCTGGGAAGGGTCCCTTGGTCCTGGCCAGTTTGCAGCGGCCCATGGGGCCAGCCACAAGGTCACTCGGGACATGGCTGGGTGTCACCGCCCTGCTACCTGGCTTCCCACTGCAGGAGAAATCAGCTGGAAGGAAGCTCCTTGCCCTGCTGTACTGAGACACCTTGTTCATGAAATTCACCATGACCAGAAAAAGTAGCAAGCAAACAAAAAGCCAAAAAGAGGAAGGAATGAAACAGCAGGTTGAAAGAGGAAGTACTGTCCCGAGCAAATCATGATTGCGCTGGCTTTGTGACAGCCTCAAGGCTGACCCATCTTTGCTCTCCTCTGTGACACTCCCATACTCATTAGTTAGGACCTGTTCTCTCCTTCACATTTCAATAAGGGGTACTTTCTGATCTTTGTGAAAACGAAGACGGAGCCAAGGACCCTATTCCCATTTGAAGATGATTCACTATTGACAATTTCTTGACAGTCATCAGTTAATTCTTAGCCCAGTAATAATTTAATACTGAAGATAATGCTAATGATAGAGGGTCAGATCTTTACAAAGTCTATTTTAGTTTCTGAGACTACGGTTTCCAAGAATAAAACATGGTCAAGACATACGTTTGTTCAGGATTTGGATTTTGGCTACCTTTTATGTCCTGTCTTGAAAGCTGACCTGGTATTTCTAGAAACCAGAACCTAAATTCAAACTCTCAGTAAGACAGAATCTAGTATATGTGGACAGATTACATTTTAAAGTATTTTAAGGATTCTGAGAGTGGAATAAATAGCCCATAAACATTAAAGAATTGAGTTTGGAAGGGGAAAATATGCTGTTAGGATATACTAGAAGAGCTATAAGTATTAAAAGCATTTTATGAGGTGATCAGAACGTTCTGGTCTTCTATAGTCAAGGAAAATATGTTCGAGCTGGAACAAGTGTAAAAAAGTGATATTCAGAACATGCAGATAATGAGGAGCTGAAAAACAGCTAGCGCTATTAAGTATGAAAAAGCATAGGCTAAGGGAAGATAAGGATGAAATCTGCATAGACAGAGACGAAAACACTGAAAAAGAAAAGAGCTATTTTAGATAACAGACTACATACTAATATAAGAAATGAAAGGTTTTAAATTGAGCAGAAACAACCTGAAGTTACAGAATAGAGGAAGGTTTTTAATAATCAAAATAGTAGAGATAAAAAAACAAAAACTTGATTTTATGATGAAACTTAAGCAGTTTATGAACGAGGTGACATAGTACCTGACTCATGTCATTATTTAGCATCAATTTATAGGGAAAAATAAGTTACATATATTTCAAGATTACTGAGGTGGGAAGGGAGACTTATAGCTCTCTGTATCGAATAAAATACATGATTTATTTTATATAATCATACAGTTATTTGCCATTTCAAATTAAGTTCCTCACTTATTAAGTGTCCTTGCTTGCGACAACAACATACAGGAAAGGGGCCCACTATATTACAGTTTCACAAAATAGCTCCTAGCGTCTTCAGATGTCAAGGTCAGTGCACAGGTTGCCTCATGCTCTCACATGCACTTTGGTTTTTTTCCACCCACTTTCAAACATATTTAGCACCAAGCTACCTCTCAAAGGAAGTTCTGATTGGCAACAAGTGATTTATTTTTTTCTTGCTAGCAAATACGGACTATTGATCTGGGGTCCCGGAGAGACAAAAAACAAAGTCTTTTGGTATTCACGCATTTGTCATCATAGATTTGGACTTTGTCATACCATCCTAAAGTAGACCAAGGATTGCCACTTTTATGTGACCTTCTGTAGAACCAGTTTATCTGTATTACACCAAGATCAAGTCCTTACATGTTTAATGGTATGAAGCCAAATATTCACTACTAAATACTAAACCAACCAAATACAATTATCAGCTAGAAAGTTTTGTCATTGCTTTTGGTTTACATGACTTTGAGGAGGGTGTTGAGAATGAATGTCTAGTGCTACTGAGTTGGCATCTAGGTATGGAAGAATATCAGGATACCTGCAGCTATAGTTTGGCAATATTATTAGCATTAATTTAATCTGTCAAAGAAAATTAAGAACCAAACCAATCAAGATAATTATATTTCAGAAATAATCATCATCATTTTAAAATCATATTTGTTTCACAAATATTTTGAGACCTCAAAATTAAAAAAACTGCCATTTATATTTTGCTGTTTTCTACCAGTTCTAGTTTTTCTTTAGCAAAATGATCAAATCAATCAGTAATTTAAGTGTTTACACTGGCTTTCTGTATTTTTATGAAGATATATTAAGAACGTTCATTTACAACATTAAAGAAAAAAGAATAAAATAATTTAAATATTTACCGATTTCTTTTTCCTCCCATTCATAATCCTAAAAGTATCTATTACGGCTCGTATTTTAAATTGTTATCAGCTGAGAGTCTCTGTAAAACTACATAAAGCAATAGCAATAAATTAGACTCATTAAACCGTGACTGAAAAAGTACAAATTTCTAATCACAACATGTTTTTAGTCAATAGTAGTAATCCACTGGAAATATTTAGAAAGGTGACTTTTCAAATATTATTTGCATTTTGTATATGTGCCTGTGTTAATTTTATGAGTTTAAGCAGCTTAACAGTCCCTAAGAAAGTTGTTTTTCCTAGGGAGGAAACACAAACATTCTGGAGTTATAATTTTTCATTCCTCCTCTTTCCTACCAAAGTCTGACAGTCTAGCTGAAACGTGTGATAGTGAAGGCGGCCGCAGCAGGAGAAATAAAAAACGATAGTGACAAGTACTCTATAAAAGGAAAGTGGTACTATAGCATGGACTGCTCCACCATACTTTTATCTCAGGTAAATGTCCTGGCTTTGACACAGCTACATTAGCAAAATAAAATAAAACCACACAAAAGTCTTGTTGCTGGTATTGCTTCCTTTGTTTGTAGAACAAATATCATTTACAAGGCAAAACAACCTTGTCTGCATGAGGAGAGTTTCATATCAGGAAAAGACAGGGAAGGCAAGCTAGAAGAGCTGTACCAATAAACCCTTCTCGGGGTGTCCTACAGTGTCCCAGACTGCCATCCTTCATGCCATGCTTGGCAAAAAACAAAGAAAGGAATGGAATTCACTGTGTTATTAAGGGAATCTACAGCTGAGATCACCTGTCAAAAGTCAGTGGATTAAACAGCCAGGACTCACAGCCTCCCACTTCCTTTTCCCTAATTCCCTTTCCCTGCCCTTCCCTGAGCACACTGAGTGTGCAGTGTAAGGTAGATCATCTGAGAGTGTTCAAGCATCTCAACTACCCCACCGGAGCATGGCAGAAAAGGCTTCTTACAGAACAGAGGAAAGGTGACTTATGTTTTTTAATGCTGCAAGCTGTGTACAGCCGTAGACAAGGAGGAAATATCAGTAACTATTGGGCAAGAAAAAACAGTGTCTATGTTTTAAGGGATTATAAACATATAATGATAATGGTTGAAAGAAATGCACTAGTACCTAGCCGTGTGTATGTGTAAGTGTTTTGCCGGATCACTGCTAGCACTGTATGCAAGTGCTACAGCATGCCCCCTGGCCAATCAGTTCAGAGGGTTTACAATTTTCCCTATGAAGAGGATGGTGTGGGTGAATTTATCCAGAATCATCAAGAGAAAGGGCCTGTTGAATTTGACTCGACGCGGAGCAGGAAATTCACCAGATCTCCATATAATTTCCTTTACCGTGACTCCTGCTGCTTCAGTGCCGTTCTCATGAACATTTAACAAGGCTTTATGGATCACCTGCAAAGAGACAAAGTGAAAAAGCCTCCACCTAACATCCTGGCAAAAAAAAGAGCAGCTACTTCTACTTCAACGTGAACCCTGCAGCTGCTGGCCCCCCCCCCTCCCGGGGGGGGGGGGGGCTGCAGCAGGAGGGGAGTAAGCCGTCCCCCTCTTAGCTCCTGTCTGACGAGCCCACCTGATGCGAGATGCAGCAGTGTGAGTCTCAGGAAGTCCATTGCCTACTGCTCCTCTTTGCACCACAGCACAATCACGTCGTTACACTATCTCTGCTGACTGATGTTAACGTTACACAGAGAATAACCCTTTAACAGCTCACAGCCAAGGAGCATTCAGGATGAGTGATAGAAAGAAACTCTGGAAGTAAACAAACCTGGTAATTTAGTCCAGACTTAGTATTGCTTTGGCAGCTTTGTGTATTATTAAGAGTCAACCCTATCATCTAAGTGAAAAAAAAAAAAAAAAAACTTTTTGAAGGCACTAGAAGAGCAGGAATAACAGCCTTTTACCCTTTGTAGGGTGAATTAGAGGATATTTTACCAAAACTAATGTGCTACCTTTAGATAATTTTGTTTAGTAGCCAAAAGAACATTTAAATACATGTTTGTCTTCCTTCTTGTCATCAAACCACGTGTGCATGTACAACCTCTTGTAAAGGGGGGTAAGTATGCTTGGCTTCAGCTGTTGGAAAGAGAGGGCTTGCTTTGCCTTCAGACTGGCAGCTGTTGATGTTTGAGTATTGCTTCAGAGAGACTGGGATAAACTTTTTACGTGGTGTCAGTGCCATATTCCCAGGAACCAACAAATCCTGTGAACACTGCATTGCATGTGCTGACTTACTTTTGAAACCATCAGTCCAGGCTCCTCAGTAATTCCTGACAGATCAGCTTGTTCGGTGAATAGATCAATCATCCCCATTTGTTTGACTATCTTTTTTACATCATAGGTACCAGAAATAGAAAATCTAGGAATGTGCAGATGTATTTTTCTGTAACAAAGAAATAACACAAAGACAAAGAAATGGTCATCCAAGTAATGCTCCTGAGTGGCTTCAAGCTATTGACAATTCCTGTTTATTTTTCTAAATGCTAAAAGTCTGCTCTCAGGATCTGAACAGCACGTTTGACCATATAGCTATCTGCAGCAGAGGGCTGGAGCAGTATCAGCCTGTGCTCGCCCCTGTCTCCACATACCCACTCTGCTGGAGGAAAGGGGTTCAGGAGTGCGGGGAAAGATAGGAAGACACAATTAAACCAAGTCTAGGGCAAACAGAGACTCACTACTGCCAGGGAGCATGTGTTCTTCAAAAGAACTTATCCAGCAGTCCTAAGGCTGTTCTCATATAAAAGATGGCCTGGCCCACCATAGAAGTCATCCCCATGCTGGGGAATAAGTAAAATTTCCTCTTTTGTATACAATGTGGCAAATCCCATCTGGCTTTTAACACCCTTGTACCCAGTGCTTCAAAACTAGCTACTCCATTCTAGTTTCACAATGCCTGTATGAGACATGGGTGTGCTAACTTCACCTTGGAGCTAAGAGACTTGTGGCTGAGCCAGGGACTTAATCCAAGAGGGATCCCACATTCAGTGGCCTATTTATTCACTCCTTTTTTTTTTTTTCCAACTAAGAAAAAGGAAGGCACGGACAGAGAGGGACCAGTAAATGAATAGGCTTCACTACAATAATCAGGCCTTCAGTGTTTTGTCTTGGTGAGACACATGCTCTCACCTTAGCAAAACCTCCTACCTGTCTAGGAGGAACTTCTCCCATCGAGACACAGTTCTCTTCAAGAGAGCATCTTCCACCTGCTTCATCTTCCCTTCATCGGGCAAAACAAGTAATGCTGCAGCATTTCCATTGTAAGGTATCTGTACCAGCCAACAGGACAGCTCTTCATCGTAGTAATTTCTGTAGTAACCCTTCCGATACATCATGTCAACTTTTACAGACGTTTTCTTATCCACAAAAAAATCCTCCCGTTTTGTGTATAAAGTACTGAAGGGTTTTTCCCAATGGGCTGATGACAAAAAGAAAAACCATTCAGTGAAATACAATGAGTAGCTGTCGTTGTGAATAAAATAGGTCTAGTCCCACAACCTTCTTTCTGTTAGAGCAAATATTTTTTTTCGATTTACCACATCCTCAGGTGTTGCAGCTCTTTTTTTCAGGCGCTTAAAGACTTTCACAAAGAGATAATACCAAAAATACCATCTTTAACTTGAGCATGAGACTATCATCGTGCTAAAGAATTTATTCAGGAAAAAAAAATATTTGCTAAAAATCCTAGTCTTTTCTTAGCCAGGGGAGGACACAGACATAGACGCTGACAACATATAAAGATGGGAATCTTTTATAAGATTATTTTGTAAATACTGAACATGGGCTCCTCCATTTACAATATTTAAACTGCGGTTTCTTCTCTTAGGTTTTCACTCCCTGTAATAAGCAGTAAGCACATAACTTATAACCTTCGCACCCTACATTTCTTACCTTTGAAGAAGACATAATTAACAAGAACCATCGCAGTGACAGGATCAAGATCTTCCACTAACTTAACAATTTTCCCATTTGTTTTTTCCTTGATATAACTGTTGATCTGATTCTCAGCACCAGAAGAGTTGTTAAAGTCAATAGAAAAGACTTCAGATTCATAAAAGCGTTTAACATCATCCAAAAACTTCTGTAGTGGTTTTAGTGCCTCATCTATAAAAAGGGCACTGCCCAGGCTCAGCTGGAGCTCACTCTCTGGGCGATTCAGCATGCTGAGGAGTTGGCAAAAACCTTCATGTATTTCCTCCTCCTGAGTCTTTTTCAGGTTAAAGGCAAGTCCGTCCAGAACCTGCATCAGTGTTGCTGATTTGGCACCAAGTGCCACCATTGCAAAGGAAGTAGAGATGCTTATGGGTGAAAAGAAAATATTTTTATCGGTTGCCTTGGATGTGACCAACTTGTAAAATGCAAACGCAAAGTCAGTATTGCTGGAAGCTAGTTTGATAAAGGTTTTATTTTTATCTGGATAAACTCCTTCACTACGAGAACTATGTTCTGGGTAATATGTCCCTTTAGGATCATCCTGCTTATTGTGGTGATAAGGGCGCTGATGACACTGGGCAACAATATACAGTCCAGCCAGCAAAAAACACAAAGTGGGCTTCATTTTCCGTTGAACGCTTTCTGGAAGACATACAGAACATAGCATGGAAATTAATTTCTTCATCTCTGTGTACTCCAGCCAAGTAAAATGACACTCTCAGAACACACACTGTTCTCAAAAAAAACCTCACTTCTATATTTCACGTCCTGATGCCAGTGGTTCCCGGAAAGTGTCTCATGATAAACGATTCATATAATAAGTGCTCTCTCAAAAGAAGTCATTTTGATCATATTAACATGTAAAACTAGCATAAGACTGAATTTTTTCAAGTTTTCAAATAACTGGGGATTTATGACCTTTTCCCCAGTAAACTGGTGGACACTGTTTTTGTGCTTGGCACTGTATGATAGCTACTGCAGCCTTATAAGTCTTCATCACTTCATCAAGTGACTAGAAAGCTAAATCTGTTAAACAAAAATGTGATATAAACACAGATCACACTGTCTGGGACCGAAATTCCAAAAATACTTGTGCAAATTCCTTAAAGATAAAATATTTGGCCGCTGTGGCAGGAAACTCTCTGTAGAGATCTCTATTTCTTCCAAAATAATTTTTATTCAGCTATGTAAAGTATCTTCTTTACTAGCAGCCAGTTCTTGCTGGTTCCTGGCATGTTCTGATTTTTGCATGATAGATACATCACTTTGTTTACATGTTGAAAGGCACCCTTCGCAGACAACACTATAATCCCCCAAAACGAAATGCACAAGTGATGCAAAGGAAAACTGAAAGGGTACTCACAGTGCAACAAAAAGGAGCCTGGGGTGTCCATCTGATCTTGACTGCTCCTTGTGCTACTCAGGACCACTAAACAGGATTAAGCAGAGCAGGTCCATTAATCATTAATGAGTTCAAATAAAAAATACTGGTGAGGATGAACAGCAAACAGTACTGACACTAGATTTTCTGGACAGTTTGTGCAACCCAAGCAAGCCAATACTACTGGATTGTGCCCAGCATGTGACCGGGGCTCAGGTGTAGCTAGAGGATTTCTATCTTAAAACAGCTACTCTCCCCAGTGCGTCCTCCTGGGACAAGGGCTGGAAGCTACAGACATTACTGGTATTAGCTGACTCAAAACTTTTTTCTCCCCCTTTACAAACCTGTGAGCGTAGCAGCTCAAGGACTGAATAGCAGCACTGTGTGACAGGCAGCCTTGTAGGCATAGAGAAACGGTGCCTGGTAATCACATGAAAAGCCTACTGTGCATATCTGCTAGGAGAGCCGTATCCTGTGTGACTGCAGCTGAACACTGTGAATTCAAGGGAAGGCTACCTTCTACCTGCGTCCAGTGCCAGGAGACGAAGCTTCAAGCACAGCCACAGCCCCAGGCTCACCCATAAGAGAGTATAGCATCCCTGCCAGGCCATTCTCCAGGGCTCGCCTCAGATAAACAGGCTAGGGACACTGCCAGAATCATAACCTCTCTGTCAGAGTTTTAAATGTGGTAAGCCACCCTCTGATTTGTAATCCGTTCTGCCTTACCATATTTCACAATCGCGACCTTCGACACCATGTATAACGTGTTGGGTTTTCTTTGTTTTAGGGGGAGCGGACTATCATTGATGAATGGTTTCCCGATTTCTTTAGTGCATAACAGCAACTGAAAATGTGGCATTAACACCCTAATGAGACGATCTGTCTCATTTGTCTCATTGCTGTTGACTCATTACTGTTAGCCACCACGGTGAGTGACTAGGTATTTTCAGAGCTGGTGAAGTCCTCCCCGTAGCTTTTTAGAAAAAACAAACAAACAAAAAAGCCCAGCAAGACAGCAAAAGCTTAGGGAGAAGAAAAGTGGGGAAGGAAAAGGAACTGGCAGAAAGTTCTCTTCTGCTGCTGCTATTCTGTGAAAGGCATGGGCTAGCTGGAGCTGTAACACCAGGAAATTAGCACCAGCACCAGCTGGCCCCTGGCCAGCTGCCCAGCAAATTGATACTGAATTATTTGGACTGACAATGGACAAACTGACAATTCCGTCCTGGAAAGAGAGACATGTTTAAGGAAGAACTTAATGGATAAGAATGTACAGAAATAAGGCAGACAGAGCACCTTGAGAAGCATTACAGAGACTTGAGCCACAATCCTACAACAGCCTGTCGGAAATGAATTTTCAGCTGAATTTGAGTAAGAACTCATGGCTTTAACTTATGAAGAGGAAACTGGTAAGGAGCTTAGAGGAACCTAGGAAGAGAAAAAAATCCTTGTTTAAGTTGTAAAGTATGTAGAAGAAATCCAAGAGACCCGAGTAAGCCATCTCATTGGGGAGAAGCTGGAACCGACTAGCACATACCTTCTTTTATGTTGGTGTTATTATAGGTTAAAATGTAAATACAGTTTCCAGCCCATCATGGGAAATGAGCTAATTCTCAATGCCAATGATACAACACTGATGGAGGAGCTGACGAATCATTTCTCCTTTGCATCCGTGATGTTGCTGCCAGTCATTCTCAGTCAGAATCAGCTTGGTGAATTTCAATTTACCTCAGAGAGCCACTCCTAAAACCTGAGACAACAAGTCTCAAATAATTTCTTATGTCCACTAGCAGAACCTCATGTGCAACTACAAGCAAAGAAATGTTGTTTTTTGAATACCACAATAATCAACCACCAGAGACAAATATTTTTAAAGTAATATTCTTTGGATAGTAGATTGATTACAAAAGAGCATAGCAAGAGCAGGTATAGTAGAAAATGAACCTCAGTGATTTTAATTCTGCAGTCCTTAAAACTCTAAAGAATTGGGACAAGATCATTAACTGAAGGGACAGATTCAGATCCAGCATCATTAACGGATATAATCAGTTCCTTATGCGTTCCTTACTAGTGCACTGAGGAGAGATTGGAGCTTGATACATTCCTCTGGAACTTTAGGAAACAGCACAGTAAAATAAGCAGACAGAAAGATGGAATGTGCCGTAGGTGTTTTGCTGTATCTAGCGCACGCTCACAATAAAATGCTGTACTGTATCTTACCTTTAAAGAAAATATGGGTAGCCATAACCTTTGCTGAGAATCAATGTTTTCTTCTATTTTGCTCCTTATTCCCTGCTATTTTATTCACCTTATAACCAAAGATATAACTATCAGTCTCAGAGACTCTAGAAGTTGTATCTGTTTCAAGTTACATTTTGATGCTATCTGAAAATGCATAAGGCAAGGAAAAAAGGTTAACGTTGGTTGCAGTAGCAAAAACATATTTAGTGCGATTTATAGCTTGGAGAGCATCATGACTATTGACTGTATCAGGGAATAACAGTTCAACGATGTCATGATACCCAACAAGTAACTCACATAGCCAGAGAGAGGACTTCATTTTCCTGGTTCCACTATGCCAAAAAACTATATATGTCAAAAATAACGCACATAATCCTTTCCTTAACTTCCAGGACAGCCAATACTTGTTCTCTCCCAGTTTCAGGACCTTTTTGCTTTCACAGTGCCACATTTTACTTCATTTTATGTAATCATTCCTTTCTTGTCAAGATATTGGAGGGAGAGAGCTTCCCCTCCATCTCCCCTTCCCCACGTCTAGTTAAAAATTTCAGTGTGCTAGAAAACATAGAGCACACTTTCTCAGAGATGTTAAACTTTGAGTTATTAATCCTGGCAATCTCTTATACAAATTCCTAGAAGGGCACTAACTGGTCCTGTTAACAGTAAGTTCTCCTAAAGGATCAAGCTAAAATCTGCTTCTCATTTTCCGTTGAGTCTAGTCTCCATTTGAATAGGAATTTCTCCATCAGGGAACCCACATGTGCTCGTTCTTTGTGGGTTTTTTTGATTCCTCTGTCTCTAAGAAATTCATTCTTCATACACAAATCCAGATAATTAAATGTAAAATACAAAATTTCAGAAAAATTTAACACAGCGTATTGTAATGCAAAATTGTAATTTCATCATGCAGATGTGCTTGCTCACGTGTTTGTTTTGCTAATTATTATTAAACCACCTTCAAGGGACTGTTATCTTGCAGGTGTTCTCATCAAATGGAAACTTCAAAAGGAGTACAGCGTAAATGATGAAGATACTCATTTTTCCCAAGTATACTTGTGAAGAATTTCAGCAGCTACTTGGAAAAGGGCATTAGCACAGAAGAGAGGCTGTTTTTGGAGAGAGAACTGCTGCACCACATGGAGGAAAGCAGCAGTAGGCCAGCGCAGAAACCCGGTTCGCCCCGGGCTCCTGAGCACCCGGCTTCTGGAGCAGCTACGTCCAATGTCGAAATGCTGCACATGAGGCATCAGATGCCTCTCAGCGGGGGCATGCTGAAGGGGAAGCCGCTTGCACCGTCTGTAGGAAACACCGAAAAGTGAACTGTATCCTCTTCATCTCAATTTCAAAGCAAAGCTTTTGTCCTGTAGTTGTCTTATAAGGCGGGATATTCAGAGAGCAAAACAAGGCAGGGCACACCGCTTTCTTTTTAAACTCAGCCGTACCAGTCTTTTGTTTACTAACCTAGGCAGAGGAGCACTTGATGCAGATATGAGACTCGCAGGTCTTACACACTCTTCAACCAGATAGAATCAGATCATCCATAATCATCCATTTTGCAGGGGAATATTGAATCTTCAGGCTGCAAAAGGCTGGTGAGAAAGTGAAGGAAATGCATATTCTTGCCTTCCTTCTGTGAATGTTCTGCTTAAAAAAAAAGCTTATGTAAATGTGTTCCTTTTTATCTATTTATGAAACACATGTACAATGTTTATGTATACAGACACACACATACCTATACCTATACATATTCATTGGCCTGGAGAAAGATCAACAAGTAGGGAGCATGACAGTTTAGCCTAATGATACAGACATAAGCTTGGGAGACAGGAAACCCAGCTTTCACTTCAAGAACCGTTCAAGTATGTCATTTCATGTATACAAGAAGAAATACAGGCCCTAGGAATTGTTTCTGAATGTGATACCTGATTGCACAAGATGTGCAAGTGTTACTAATCCTAGACATATGAGTAGCATGTGAGTAAGTCCTGCTAAAAATAAACATTATCTTTGCTAAATCAGAACCTGTGGCAATAAGTAATGAATTATGGTTTGAATTGAACAAAATAGGAAGAAATACTATCTCAAAATAACTGTGAGGTTTCATTAACATAACAATAGATTCAAAATACTTTTTCTTTAAGAGCATTGAAAGTCTACATATACTACATCTTACAGAAGGAGATTCTCACCACTTTTTAAATCAACTTTTGCTGAACGCTAAAAAAACAGATTTTTTCCACATCCTGATGTGAAGCAATGTAAAAAATATTTTATTTTACCCAGATTTTTGTTGAAAATTCTGAAAACCAAAGTCAAGTATAAAGGAAAGAAAAAAAGGTAGTACATTAAAAGTGAGACCAGGAGACAGTTCACTATGCTGTAAGCGCCCAGCCTGAGGGACAGTAGCTTAGAATAGAGTATACCACTAGATATCACTGTTTTAAGCTTAAGGTAAATGTAGACTCCTCCTAGCAGTTATGTGGTGATGTAGAAACTCCTGTCCTTACCTGCTCTGCAAGTATTATGATGGTATATTATGATGGTATCCATCTCCTCATTTGAGACAGACTATTCCAGTGTCATTGACTTCAGTAGAGTCCAGGTAAACTAGCCATAATAAATTCATGAGATTGAAAACTTGAGTTTTTCCTCTTTGTTCTGGTCTAGTGCAGATTAAGAGCATAACATCAGTTCATGGCACTGATTCACATCGCGTGAGATTTTCACAGCACAAACATTCATACGCCTTTTTTAACTGCACTCTTAGAAAAAAATCCTAAAACTGACTCAGAAGAAATGCACTAGCTCTCACTACACTATGACAGAGATAATACAAAACAGCATATTTAAACTG